AGCTTTCCCTTGTCAACGTCTTCCCTACGTGGTCCCGAGTCTCTGGATGTGCACAAAGAGCTAAGCACAAGGTAGGGTCACGCACAGCTCGCAGGCAGGCACGGCGGGGTGCGGAGAGCTGGGCGCTGGTAGGCAGGTCCGGCCTCCATCCAGCACGGTGGACTCCCGTGGCCCTGGATGAAGCTGCGCCTCGCCGAGCTTCCGTCTCCCGAGCTGGGAAATGCGTTAAGTACACCTGCCACATAGGGTTGTGGCGGGACAGGTGCCCGCCCCAGGCAGGCCCAGAGATAATGGGCCATCTCCTGGAGAAGGGGGCACGGACTTCCCTTCTTTTTCTTGGGGACCATTCTTGGATTTCATCTGCACTGGGCTGAGAAGAAGAGGAGGACCCTCACCCTTGCAAACCTGGAGCCCTGTGTGTTGATTGGGTGGCCCAGGGTAGGTGCAGGGTGGACAGGCAGTGTCGCCCCGGCCGCGTGTGGGTGGTCGCCTCTGGCGACCTCGCTGTTTGCACCTGAGAGAGGAAGAGGGACAACTTCAAGGAGTTAGCTGGCCAGTGTTACCAGCTGCCTTCTCAAAGCAACATTAGTGATGGAAGCATTAGAAGTAATAACAGTGTCAAGAGAACGGATCGAGTTCCTGCATTCTGTTTTAAACATGTTTTTGCTGACGATTTTTAGTTTATTTGTGTCATTATTGATTGAGGAAGGAAAAGAAGTGATTTTTCCTAACTCCAAGAGGATCAACAGTTCTTATATTGGTTGATTTCATTATAACAAGATCAATACAGTCTGTGTTAGTGGATTACATATTTTAAAACTCAATTTCCTATAAGCAGCATACAGTGAGTAATAGAATCTTCTTTAACAAACATGTAGACAAGCGAGATGGTCTCAAGGTTAAAGGTTACATAGCAGCTAACTGTGTGCTTCACGGAGCGTCGCCAGGAGAGGCCCGATAAGCAGTCTGCTCGGTTTATGAAAGGTCCGAGGAGCAACAGCTCCGCACGCCAGGACCTTCACCCCCAGCGAGGCCGCGGTTCCTGTTCAAGACCGTTTCCGATAAATGGTTCCCAGCCTCTATCCATATCTCCTTAGCAAGACGCACAGGCCAGCCCCCAGCATTATGTTCTCATGGCCTCGCAACAAAAACTCCAAGTCATCCACCTCTCAAGGTTTCTGCTGCTCAGAACCCACACCCCTCAGCTTCAGCTTTTAATGTAACCAAGGGTGAATTCAGTCATTCCGGTCCAATTTTCTCAAACGACAATAGCTCCCTTTTGTAGTTTGCTGTCTGCCTTGCCATGTGGAGTGCTTTGTGTACCTGCTGCGTGTGGCCCCCGACAGCCTTGTGTTCCTGAGGGCGTGCGTGCGACCCCGCGGCGAGGGGGCATGCCCGGGGCCCCTCCACTGGAAGTGGCAGAGCTGGGGTGAGACCGGGTCCCTGGGATGCTCAGCTGCTCTGCTGACCGCCTCCCGCTGCCGAGAACATGCCGACGAGGCGGCTGGGAGCCTGGTTTCCGAGCCTCGTCTTGTCCGAGGCTGCCTCACCAAACAGAAATTCCCCCTTAGTCTTTCCCATTGGGTATCTTAGTCTTTAACAATTAAAAAATCTTTTAGTTTTGAATTTTTTAAACAAAGGAATATAGTAAAGGCTTAGTTGTTATACGGTAAGTGGGACTAGGGAAAATATATAAACTCTAGCTTGTCTTCTAACTGGAAAATTTTAGTTCTGAAAAGACATAGACTCTCTCAATCTCCTTAGAGGGTTGAGGAAGAATAACATATTCAGAAATACTTTTTTTTTTTTTAACCACCAAAAGCTCAATCATCATCTTTTAGCAACTCAGCTCTCACTTTCCCTCCCGTCTCCTCCCCATTGTTGGCAAGACTGTGTCACTGCACTTTTTGAAAACCTAGGCGAGTTCACTGCCATTTCTGAAACAAGCATATGTTCTGTGCTGTGCTCCAAGAAAGAGGGAGACATTTTTCTCCAGGCAGACGAGCTTGTTTTTCCTTTTGGACTCGGGATTGGCAGTGAATCCCAGTCGAGCAGGAAGTCGGCAGTAGGCACCGTCGTCTCCGTCAGGAGAAAAGACTCAGCCCGCGGGGGCCTTCTTGGTGGGGTGCAGGCTGCCCTGGCGTCTGAGAGCTCCTGTTCCACCCAGAGGACGTGACTGGGGCCTGCCCTCAGCCCCCAGTGGGGTCCCCGGCCACCAGGCAGGAGCCAGTGTCTTCAGACCTGTGCTGCAGGCGAGAGGCCCGACCTGGATGTTCTGTGGTGCTGCCCCCAGGCCCGGATGGACGGGGGAGTGGAGACGGAAGGGAGGTGCCCGCCTGCTCCTCCTCCCCGGGATGGGGACTTGCTAACTGAGGACATCATGGTTGGGTCCTGACTACCCTCTTGGGTTCCGGACGGGCTTCAGGAAGGAAAAGAATCAGCTCGAGGAATACCAGGTTTCCAACCAGATCAATTAATTGCTGCTTCCCTAATTACAGGGATGGAGCACTCGCCCACCCCAAGTCTGCTCATCCCCCCGTATCTTTCTAGAATCCTTCATTTTTAGAAAGCAGGGTTACAAAAACATGAGTGCAATTTAAAGTCACTTCATGCTGGCGAATCTCTTCCCAGCCTTTGCCCACGTCAATCCTGCTTCGTCCTCTTGTAATTCAGAAACAGGTGTCAGGCATTGTCCATCGCCCACAGAGCGCTGCTTCTGATTCCAGTGTCACACGGCTTTTCAGCATCCCGCCAGGCAGGGCGCTGTGTTCGCCTCCGCCGCCCCTGGGGGTGGGTGGGGGGGCGGGGAGGGCAGCAACTGGGCTGCTGTGTGCGGTCCCTCACCAGTACCAGTGACAGGCCGAGATGACCCGGTATGGCCATGAGCACCTTTGCACATTGCATTTTGTTGCAGAATAGTCAAGGGGCTTATTAGGCTTAGTCTTCATTTGTAAAAGGTCAAGTGTTTCCAAAATTTTCTCTGATGACAAGTGGCTGCCAATTGTCGGCCTCTGGAAGATATTAGGAAAAAGTCAACACACTTATTCATTCATTAAGGCGAAGGTGAGGCTTTAGCAGAGAACGAGGGAAACTGCTTTCGAAAAAATTTGTTCTGCCAAAAGAACGTTAGGAAAACATGTTTTTAATTGTTCCCATCGTTCTGTAATTTTCGTTGCCAAACTCGATGTAAAGTGTCACCTATTAAAAACTCTAATACCTGCACCCTTAACATGGGAACAGCATTTTTCTAATCAGCTTTAAAATACTTGCAATGAAAATTTCAATGGATTTTGAATGGGGTTGTTAAGTTGCAGGAGCCAGTATTTGACACTGGCGGAGGGGGCTTTTAGAGCTACATGTCCGCACACTGCTCGCAGAGCTGGGTGGAAGCGGGCCGAGGGTGAGCATCTCCCCCCACCCCCCACCCCCGTCCACGCGCTTCTGGAAGGGGCTTTGTGGCTCGGACAGACTTCAGGGGATAAACAGAGGCTGGAACCGGGCTACTTTCAAATCACCAACTGACAAAAAAGTTCCTTGCATTGAAAAAAAGGGAAATATAGTCAGTCCTGTCATTCTTACTGAAAATATTAGGACTTATTAATGATTTCAAAGCAGTTTGTTGATCCTCTTCGTAAATAGCATGTTGATATATTTAAAAATACTGGTTATTTTCTCCTTGTCTCATCCTTTAAAATAGTCTATTTTTGGTATTTGTTGTAATGTTCAGAGCATATTGGTACAGAGCACATTGTATCACTAATGAATAAGCGTGCAGAGGTTGGCCGTGTGAGCTCCCGGCTTCTCACTGATGGGGCATGCGGTCAGACAGCCCCGAGACCCATCCAGGTCAGGGTACCGGTCAGTGGCTCTCGTATCCTTCCCTGGTGATGTGGTGGGACATTCCACCAGGTGTGTGGGGTCCTGAACACGAAGCAGGGCAGCCTTCAGGAAGTGCTTTCTGTAAGAGTAAGTGACACGGGAGAGGTCGGTGTTCTTGGCCACCAGCTTCTTGTGCCCCTCACTGCCCGCTGCCTCAGTCCACTGGGGGGCTTTCCATGGGCCAGCGGCAGTCAGGCGTGTCCCTTGTGGGCCAGGAGAGCCCTTGTCGGCTTCTCTATAGGAAGCCGCCAGGTTGGCGTGACCTGGTGTGGCGGCCTGGGCCTGGGGACACACACAGAGGCAGCCCTCAGACTCTCAGTGTTGAGAACGCCCCCCACGCCAGCCCGGTTCCTCACTGCGCTTTTGGGGGGTTGAATTGGACACATGAGAACTACAGCCGGTGATCAGGTGCGAGATGCGACTGTGAAGATGGAGGAGCGCTGGCCTGGAGCCCCCCAGACCAGCTCAGGGCACACGGACACTTGCACAAGGCATGTAAGTGCTTGATGCCCGTCTGATGGCAGATACATAAGGACACGGACGGACTCGAGTCCTGCAGAACCGGTGGGACTCGGAGGGTCCACACCACCTGCACATCGGGAGTTTGGGCCAATGTGATGTCACACTCTCCTTTGTCACCAGAGTCTCCTGCCACCCCCACTCCAGGCTCAGTACCAAACCCTTCGTGGGTGATTAAGGTTGTGATTGTAAGATGGCTGGTCCTACAAAGACCACTCTGGAGGCCCCTGGTTTCCATCAGACTTGCAGACCCCAGGTAACGACTCTACTGTGTGAACTGTGCAGCTTGGCCATGTTGCTCAGCCTCCCCAGTGTGGGGTGTTTCTGTTGTAAAGTGGGTCAGAGCACACAGAAGGCGGCGTTCAAGGATCCAGCCACTAGTTTAGCCCCGGGGAGGGGGTCCCGCTAATCAGGGCCCGGTGGCTGAGAGTGAGGCCAGAGTTGCTGCTGCCGCTGTTGTGTTTCCAGGAAGTCTTCCCTGGCCGCCTCGGGCCCAGGTGGGCAGTGTTGGCCGGTAGCTTCATCCCAGGTGGCGTCTTTGTCTTAAAGATACTTATTTTGTGATCTGAGTATTTTTTTCTCTTCTCTTTTTTGTGTCGTAGGAACCCAGGTATTCAGCGGTCAGAGTAACTTCAGAGTCACTACCTTGAAATTTCATCCGAAAGACCACAACCTTTTTGTGTGTGGGGGCTTCAGCTCTGAGGTCAAAGCCTGGGATGTGAGGGCCGGCAAGGTAAGCCTGTCTTCTTCTCCTGGCCTTCCCTCGGAGAGCCTACCATGGTGATTTTAATGGCTGGGGGCAGGTCCACACCTCCAGCTAGGATGCTTCAGATGGATTAAATACCACTACTTTTTAATCAGTGCTAAGCATAATTTTTAGATGTTTTGAAAAACAATTTTGAGTGGTTAGACTATTAAAACATCATCGGTGCCATTCTGTACAGCATAGTACCAACGATATTTATTGAACAGCTACTATGTGCAAATGCTTCCAGATAATGTAAAATGAATGAGCCTCAAGGGAATTAACGTGTGATACAGATAACTGATGCGGATGAGTGTGTGTGTGTGTGTGTGTGAATGTGAATGCGGGCGAGAGAGGGAGGGAAGCAGGGAGGGGCCAGCATTCAGAGGCAGGGAGTGCTTTCAGCTTGCTGTGAGGAAGGCTTCTTTGAGGAGACTGTGTTCCTTTTGGGGCTTAAAGGCTGCTCACCATCAGTCCCACAGGGTAGTGATCTCCACTGCCATCCTGCACACAGCCTGCTGCTCCTGTCGCCTTCACCAACCTAATAAGGGCAACCCTATCCCTTCTAGTCGTTCGGGCCAGAACCATCAGAATCACCCTGTCTCTGCTCTTTCTGTACCCCTAAACCCAACCTGCCAGGAGATCCGGTCATGAGTCTGGATTAAGCTGCTATGGCCTCCCACTGGTATCCTTGTAGAGGCGTTCTATCTGGTGTCTCTTCCCCCCTATGCCCCTTGCAGTTTGTTCTCAACAACTGGAGGCCAGAGTGGTCTGTGACAGTGTATGCCCAATGTGTTGCCTGTCTGCTCAGAGCCCTCAGGTTTAGGTCTTACAGTGAAAGCCAGTGTCCCTGCTGTGGCCCACTAGGCCTGCATGATCTTCTCATCCCCACTAGCTTCCTTGCCTTTCCTAGAACACACCAGCACATTCCAGCCTCAGGGCCTTTGCACTTGCTGCTCCTTTTGCCTGGAATGTTTTTCTCCCAGTGTTCTGCTGGAGGCTCATGCCCTCCCTCCTGCAGGGTTCTACTCAAATGCCACTTCTCCAGGGAGGCCATCCTTGACCACCATGCCAGCTGCCCCCCGGCGTTCAGTAGTCTCCTTTGTACTTATCATCACCTGGTTTTACATGTTCATTTATTTGCCTGTCTCTTTCCATCTATATATATATCAGTGGGTCTCAACCTTCCTAATGCTGCGGCCCTTTAATACAGTTCCTCATGTTGTGGTGACCCCCAATTTCATTGTTACAAATTGAACATAATTAAAGCATAGTGATGAATCACAAAAACAATATGTAATTATATATGTGTTTTCCGATGATCTTAGACGACCCCTGTGAAAGGGTCGTTCGACCCCAAAGGGGTCGCGACCCACAGGTTGAGAACCGCTGATATATATAAAAGGCTAAGTGCCCATCCGACCTGTAGCCATGATGTGCACTGACCACCAGGGAGCAGACGCTCAACACAGGAGCTGTCATGACGCACACTGGCCATTTAAAAATAAACGGCACCAAGGACCTGGCGCTGACAAACCAACACTTGGTTTCCCCCAAGTGGGACACAGGCCCTGCCACCACCCCGGAGTGACACCTCACCAAATCACAGCCAATGCTGCCAAGACTCCGTGGTGCAAAATGCGGCCCACAGCCCAGCGCAGCCCAGAAACGGTCGCTGTGGGCACCAGGTAATGACATCGCATAGCAATGCCCAGCTTCCTCTCCCTAGCGACTAACCTCCTTAGAGTTTCTTCAGCCCAGGAACATCACTTGCTTTATAGCCAGGTGTAAACATTTTACACTTTAACCAAATGTTTGTGAAGCGTTTTCACATGCCTCATCTCATTTGATCCTGGAGTAGGTAGATAGAAGACTCGGTGGAATCCTATTTTCTTTTCATTAGCTGGAAAATGGAGATTTAGAAAGTTTAGAAACTTGACCAGACTGAAAATGACTTCAGGTTTTCTCACTGCACAGAATATAGTCAAACACTGCTGCAGTTAAATATTTTACCCTTTGTTCTCCCTGCGTGATCTACAATAATAATCTGCTTCGTGTTGATATTTACTGCTGTGTTGCTGACAATTACCTGAAAGAGAATTTGGGGTGCTTCACTGGGCTGGAAAAAGTTTAGCTACATCAGAAAGCAGGTCTAATTAAGCAAGTTTATTCTATATCTATCAAAGGCTAAGTTGACTCGCACATGCATGATACATATAAAGCTCTCGCTGTCGCCAATCGCACACGTGTGTTTCGATCTGTCATTGTCTAGTGTGAGTTTGGTTGACACTTCTATTATAGAGAAAGGGCGAATAGCGATATTAAAATATTTCTTCTAATTAATTTCCTTTCAATGTGCACGAATCCATGCACCGGGACACCAGTGAGAACATACGATCCTCCAAGGCAGGGAGTTTTGTCTGTTTTGTTTGTTGCTGACTTCTAGCTTCTAGAACAGTGCCTGGCATATAGCAGGCATGCAACAAATCTTGGTTGCCTGAGTGAATGAATGAGGGAGGAAGGCAGTCATGCCGAGCGTACAGTACAGGAAGTGGTAATATGAAATGTGGGCAGGGACTAGTGACCGGCTCACCTTGACTGGGCATGGGCTCCGGGCAGTGGGACAGGCCCAGAAAGAGGCTGTCAGTGCTGTGGGTCTTGGTTTGGATTAGCAGAGGGGAGCTGTGGGAGGCTTGTGAGGAGGGTGCCGGGATCAGGGCTGAGGAGGATTCATGGAGGGGTGAGGAAAAGCACGGACTGACTGGGGGCTCGACACAGTCAGGAGGGTTTGTATTCAGGATCTGAGAAGTACTGCCCTGGTCTGAAGAAGGCACACAGCCCCTAGGGTTGAACTGGACTTTGAAAGAAGAAGGCGCAGAATGTCAGTGTCCCAGCCTGAAGGGCTCCAGCCTGCTGCACCTGCACCCAAAGGTCCCACCTGAAGGCTGCCCCGGATAGGTGTAGCCCCCAAGCAGGCGTGTGTTAGCAGAGGCTCGTGCAGGTGGCCGGGGTGGAGGGAGGTGAGACAGCGCCCCCAGGGCCAGGCATCTGAAGGCATCTTGCTTAAAGTACTTCACAGGTCGGAGAGTTAGTGCACAGACAGATGTACTCTTTTTTTTCTTTCTTTTTTTATTTATTCATTTTTTATTGTTGACAGTATTACAGAGACCCCCCTTTCCCTCCCGTTGCCCCTCTCCCCCCAATCCCTGCCTCACCCAGGCCTTCACTGCACTATTGTATGTGTCCACGGGCTATGCATATATGCATGTAAGTTCTTTAAGCTAATCTCCCCCCTCCCCCTTGTCTCTGAGATGTGTCGGTCTGTTCCATGCATCCATGTCTCTGGATCTATTTTGTTCGTTAGATTCCACATATACATGAGATTATGTGATATTTGTGCTTCTCTGACTGGCTTATTTCACTTAGCATAATACTCTCCAGGTCAATCCATGCTGCTACAAAGGGTAAGAAATTCTGCTTTTTAAAAAAATTTATTTATTTTTTTAATTTATATTTTATTGATTTTTTACAGAGAGGAGGGGAGAGAGATAGAGAGTTAGAAACATCGATGAGAGAGAAACATCGATCAGCTGCCTCCTGCACATCTCCCACTGGGGATGCGCCCGCAACCCAGATACATGCCCTTGACCGGAATCGAACCTGGGACCCCTCAGTCCGCAAGCCGATGCTCTATCCACTGAGCCAAACCGGTTTCGGCAGAAATTCTGCTTTTTTACTGCTGCAAAGTATTCCGTGGTATAAATGTACCATGGCATTTTTATCCACTTATCTGCTGATGGGCACTTGGGCTGTTTCCAGATCTTAAATAATGTAAATTGTGCTGCTGTGAACATAGGGGTGCATATAGTCTTTCTAATTGAGTTTTGGGACTCAGGATATATTTCCAGAAGTGTGATTGCTAGGTCAAACTGTGGTTCCTTATTTAATTTTTGGGCAACTCCATACTGTTTTCCACAGTGGCTACACCAGTCTGCATTCCCCCAGCAGCAGATGTACTCTTTCAGATAAAAAAGTCATGCAGGCGCCCCTGTGCCGGTTCAGCAGCTTCCTCCTGAGGCTGGAGTGCTCAGCCCACCGCTGACTGGGCTCTGGACGCCGCCCCACCGCTCAGGCCACCCCGTAGGTGGGAACCACCACCAACCGAAGAAATAAGGTTGACAGAAAATAGTTTCTAAAAAAAAAAAAATGTGTTTTGTTTTTTTTAAATCACACTTTTTTTTTTTTTAAAACAAAGAAACTCTTTTTACAAAAATATTTTGGAAAGAGAGAAGAGTTATCCATAAAGGAGTGGACAGCCCTCGCTGGTTTGACTCAGTGGATAGAGTGTCGGCTTGTGGACCAAAGGGTCCTGGGTTCAAGTCCGGTCAAGGGCATGTCCTTGGTTGCAGGCTCCTCCCTGGCCCGGGCCCTGGTCGGGCTCGGGTAGGAGGCAACCAGTCAATGTGCTTCTCTCACATCGATGTTTCTCTCTGTCTTTCCCTCTCTCTTCTACTCTCCCTAAAAATCAATGGAAAAATATCCTTGGGTGAGGGTTAACAAAGAAAAACAAAAAGAAGTGGACACAGTGGTATTTTAGAAAAATACTAGAACACTTAAGTTTGGGAAAATACGGGATGAATGAAAGAAAGCACCGGAAAGAGCGGTGGAGTTGGAATCTCTTGGCCACATGATCTCCGGATTCCCCAGCCCCTGCCGAGGGCCCTGTTCCTTGAAGGTGCCCTCCCTGCTTCTAGCCTTAAAAACCGAACATATAAGAAATTGCTCACCACGGACGCCATCTGATTGAAGAGTTTGTTACAAATATCAGATTTTCTCCTGGGGCTGAGGCCAGCTGACACGGTCTGAAAATGCTGGGGGAGAAACAATTCGAAGCATAGGTTGCTGTGACTGGTACTGGCATGTTTCAAGTCTCTCCCAGGCTAATAATACGGGTAGAGGGATGTGCAGTGTTTGTTTCTACTCCCTTC